ACACCAAATGACATAAACATAAGCTTTCGGAGGTCCGCGCAGATTTCTTGGATCGGCGCTGGGGCCCTCCTGTCGGCGCCTGCAGGGCCGATCCGAGAAATCCCCGCGGAGCTCCGAAGCGAACAGGTTTTCGGACGCTTTCGTCGGTCCTCGGCGTTTTTCCAGCCTCAGGGTGCGCTCCAGGGCTTTCCGGGGCTGCCCGGATCGTCCCGAAGGGCCGCGGGAGACCCGAGTTGTGCCCCGATGACCAGATGACGAGGACCATTCGGGTCGGACAAAGGGAGCGGGCACATCGACCCCCCATCTTACCCTCCCACCCGCAATTGATTGGCAAGTTTGGTCATGATCTCACTGAGAGCACGTGCGCATAGAGCTCAACCGCGCAAACAAGTCCACGCTGCAGGTCGCGAAACGCTGTCGGCGATGGTGACGATCGCGACGTCAACGACGACGGCGATGACAGTGGTGATGACGCTGACGCCCATGGTAATGACAGTGTTGATGGGGACTATACGATGTCGATGACGACGATGGCGGTGGTGATGAAGATGATGGTGATGATAATGGCGGCAACAACGATGACGTTGGAGATGATGATGACGATGGTGCTGGTGCTGGTGATGATGATGATACTGGTATTGATGATGATGGTGATAATGATGAAAGAAGAGAAGAGAAGAGAAGAGAAGAGAAGAGAAGAGAAGAGAAGAGAAGAGAAGAGAAGAGAAGAGAAGAGAAGAGAAGTGAAGAGAAGAGAAGAGAAGAGAAGGGAAGGGAAGAGAAGAGAAGATAAGAGAAGAGAAGAGCAGATAAGGGCATAGAAGAGACGATGTGAGAGGATAAGAGAAGAGAAGAGAAGAAAAGGGAAGAGATGAGAAGATAAGAGAAGACAAGAGAAGCGCTCGCGCTCAGAAATGTGACGAGGGCGACGGCATCGACGATGACGATGATGACGATTGCGGTGATGGTGACGACGACGGTGGTGATGATGATGACAATGTCGATGACGATGGCAATGATGACTCTGGCGCTGATGATAACGCCCGTGCTGATGAGGGTAATTCGGAAGTGCGCGCCCGCAGAAATTCCATTCCAGATGAAGCGTCACAGACAAACCCTTTGTTCTTCGAATGGTTTTGAAACCCGCCGCGCTGAAAGAATAAGGAAACAACTGGTGCTGGACAGGTGTTGACGTGCGCGGGCAGAGGCGCGCGCGCGTGTTGCCAGCACTCGATGATTTGACAGAGTTGGCGGGCGCGCGATGGTGGGTGAACGTTTTCGACAGGCGCGCACGAGTGCCCCGCATGGTAACATTTGACAGAGTAGCTGACAGCCAATGGCTTTCCAACGATTTCAGCGAGCGCGCGCGCACAATGTTGCAGCGCATGGTTGAAAAGCCAATGCTGCTGCTCAGGTTGTGACTGACCAGACTTTGACAGCATGTTGACAGGCATAGATATCCAATGTTTCTGAAACGCGCACGTGGCAGCGCGCGCACGTGTCCCGCATCGTACTGTTTGCCAGTGAAAAATCCCAGTGCGACCCTACCTAGGAGTTGGAGCCTCTAGGAAAGCAACATCAGTAGGAGCGGTAAACGCCGTCCTCCTCCTAGGGTGGGCTATGCTAGGCTATGCTATGCTGCGCTATGCTATGCTATGATATGCTATGCTATGCTATGCTATGCTATGTTTTTGCTTTGCCTTCGCTTTTGCCTTCACTTTTGCCTTTGCTTTTGCTTTTGCTTGGCACCCAGTGAGCGCAACTGGGGGAACCGCGCGTTTGCTTTTACCTTTGCTGTTGCTTTTGCTTGGCTCCCAGGGGACCGGGGGAACCGCCCGGGGCGGTCAGCACTGCCCGGCCCCTTGAAGCTACAGAAAAAGAACCTTTCTAGGCAGAGCCTAGGTAGGGAAAAACTGGTTTGACCAACGCATATGCACCGCATCGTTCCCTACCATCCTGTGGTGCTAGGTCCTCGCTTTGACGACACGGCGCCCCGCGTCCTCGCCTCCTCCCCTCCCTCCTCCCGTCCTTGCCCCTTGCCCTCCGCACGTCAACCACTACGGTACACCCCTCCGCACGGCTCGTGGGTCCACAGGAAGCTCCACCGAAGGCCCCAGAGGCAGGGTTCGCATGCGGTTGCCTGCCTACCACATGTCACATGTCTATTTCGGCACACCCATCACACGCTGCTCCACCCAAGGTCCCAGTGGTAGGGTTGGCAGGCGGCTCCCTGCCTACCGCACGCCAGTGTCGGCTCACCCTTCGCACGCTTCGTGGGCCCACACGGACCTCCACCGAAGGCTCAGTCGCAGGGGTCGCATGCGGCTCCCCGCCCACCGCATGTCCATGTCAGCACACCCCTCACACGCTTCGTGGCCCCATCGGGGGACTCCACCAGAGGCCCCAGTTGTACGGTTCGCATGCGGCACCCCGCTCACCGCATGTCTATGTCGGCACACATCCCACACGCTTCGTGGCACCGTCGGGTGTTCCACCGACGGCTCCAGTGGCGAGATTCACACGCGGCCCCCCGCCCACCGCATGTCCACTTCGGCACGCCACTCACACGCTTCGTGGCCACGCAGGGGACAGCTGGAGCAGCTTGCGACGCGCACGAGGCGGCGCAGAAGAGAGGCGACGGCCCTCGCCAAGGCGCTGGGCTTCACCGAAATCATCCTCGAGGCCTGACCTGAAGATCGACCCGCCCGAGCCTCGCCTGCTGCCCTCCGTGAGAGTGCTTGGCCTGGCGTCGCGGACGACCCGCGCGCGTCGCTGGAATCAGCTCGGGGCGCCCAGAGCACGTCGCGGGGACTCCCCTGCGCTTTGCCCCCGGGAGCTGCCCGACCCCCGCGACCTTTGCCCAGCGCCCTGCCCGTTGTCAGCCACCCGTGTTTCCTGGCCCGTGCCGCGGACGACCCGCGCGCGTCTCTGGGACTCCTTCGGGACGACCGGCGCGCGTCGTGAAGATTCCGCCCTGCGCTCTGCCCGAAGCCGCGGGCGCCAGGGCGCGAGGGCGAACGGGCACACAACGGCGGCGCCCGGAGCTCGGGCCACCGCGTGACAAGCGGGGAGGGGCGCAATGCACGACGGAAGCCGGGAATGGGGGGATTGAGCTGGGAAGAACATGGACGCGGAACGGCGGCGCACGCAGCTCTGGCCAAATCAAGAAGACCCCCCGCTCGCCCGCGTCAGTCTTCCTCGTCCAGCTGCCCCGCCCCGTCACCCTCGTCTCATCTGCCTCGCGCCACTCGAAGGCCCCAGTCGTGGCGCCCGCACGACGGCCCCGCCGCATTTCGGCACACCCTCCACGCGAGCGCGGCTCATGAGGAGATTCGCCGAAGGCGACTCTCACAACGACGGTACCCACAACTGCATACGGTTGCATCCATCGCCGGGCTATGAGTTGGCAGGAGGTCAATACCGCTTTGGCTAGACTGGCTTTGTTTGATATTCGTGATGGACGATCGTCAAAAATAAATTCTGAACCAGAAAAGCGGAGGGGCCGGATAACCCCGGTCCAGGCGGGGGGCGAGCGTTTGATTCTCAAGAAAACAAGTTCACGTTGACCGCATCCGCGCGTGCGCCGATGCAATTTCTCCCGGCTTAGCTGCCGATTTCTGACGATCCGATTCATTTCGATCGCCGATCCGACTTCTCGATTCAATTCTGGGCTCTTCGCCCACCCCCCTCCGGCGGGAGGAGAAGATACGCACGGCGACGTTTGCCCGCCCCGAAGCAGCCAACCTGCGTGCGAGTTGAGACGGATGTGGCGCGGAGCGAACGCCCCTGACCCCGACCCTGGCAGAGTACGCTTGTCAGCATGGGATTCCAGGCAGTGACGCATTGCACTCTGGATTGCAAGCCATGTGGTGCAAGTTGCGTGGTGCGAGCTGCGTGGTGCAAGCTCAGTCGGTGCAGACTATGCAGCGCAGGCTGTGTGGCGCAGTCCTGGTGGTGCAAAATTAATTATGTGTTGCAGGCTGCGTGTGGCGCGAGCCGTGTGGCGTTGCCCGCCAGGTTTGTGCAGGCCGAGTGGTGCAGGCCCTTAGTGGGCCCTGGAAACGACTGGGCCGTTTTTTACTGGTTCCGTTTTGCCGTTTTTGGTGCCGGTTCCGACGCCGTTTTTTTGCCGGTTCCGTCGCCGTTTTTTTACGGGTTCCCGCTCCGGCTCCAATCCTGGAACCGTTTTTGTTGCCGTTTCCGGTCGACGTTTCTTTGGCCGTTTCCATTTTCAAGGGACGCTTGTTCGGAAACGGTGACAACACGGCCCTGCCGTTTCAGGGGCCCACTAAAAGTGCAGGCTGGGTGGTGCAGCCTCTGGCGGTGCCGGCTGCTCGGTGGAAGCCGTGCGGCGCGAGCCGCGTGGCGCACGGGGCGCAGGAGACGTCCGAGAGCGACGCCCACGGCCGGGGGGCGCCGGCCGAGGGCCCCCGGGAGGTCGCCCCCCCGGCGCTCGGGCCGCCCGCGGGGCGCCAGCCGGCAGGCAGCGGCCGAGGGCGGGGAGAGGCCGGCAGGCGCACGTGCTGGGCCCCCGAGGCGCCCCCGGCCACGCGCCAGGCGGAAAAGCGTTGAGGCGGCGCTCGAGGTCGAGCAGACACGTGGTCCCCTCGAGTGCAGACGTTGCCCAGGACGGTGTGTCCATACATCTGTTACATGACACACGTGTGTGTGTCATGAATCTACACAACGTACCATTCACAAACGCAGCTGTATACACACGTATATCTATATATATATATATATACATACATATATGTGTGTGTTGTAACTGTACGTGTGTCACTATTTAGACTTGTGCTTCAGTGCGTGTATGATCGTACGCGTGTTTGTATGTATGTACGATGTGCTTCACACAGATATAGATGAATCTGTATCCGGGGAGAGAAAGGGAAAGAGAGAGAGAGAGAGCGAGAAACACAAAGCAGGTGCGCCCGTCCCCCAGGCATCACGCCGTAGTCTTGATCATCCCCTGCATCATCACCACCCATACCCAATCTTGTTCAAGCTCGCGGCCCTGGTCGTCAGGTGCGGCTGCGAAGAATCGGCCACCCCCGACCACGGCTCGTAACCTCACGGCCCCGCAACAGCAATTTACTGAATTCCGATGACGAACCACATGAACTTGATGTTCGCCTTCACGTTCATTGCTATCGGCGGCCTGTTGTTCGGCTACATGATCGGCATCAACAGTAACGTCCTCACCAAAGGACAGCTCCTCTGTGCCGACGACTACGTGGGCGCGGTGGGCACGTGGACCTCGTGGGGCTATGGCCAGTGCTGGAGTCTGAGCACTGTGACCATCGGCCTACTCAGCTCCATTGGCCTCATCGGAGCGATGTTCTCCACGCTGATCTGCTTCCGCTACTCGGACGACATCGGCAGGAAGCTCGAGGCTCAGATCGGTGCGCTGCTGTACATCGTGGGGTCGTTCGTGGCCGCGTTGTCCCCGATGCTGTGGGGGGTGGTCCTCGGCCTGTTCGTGTACGGTCTTGCCATCGGCTTCGCGATGCATGTCGCCCCGCTGTACATCGCGGAAATCTCGCCCGCGGACGTGCGCGGCGCCCTCGTGTCGGCGAAGGAGGCCATCATCGTGTTCGGAATGTTTCTGGGCTTCTTTACCGGCTGGGTCTTCTCACTCCTCAGTTCCGACGGTTGGCGCTTGATGATCCTCGTGGGCGGATTCCTGGCCGCCGCCATGTTCTGCGGGGTGGCCTACGTACCGCAGTCCCCGAGGTATCTAGTGCTCCTTGCTGCCAGGAGCGGCAACGCGGCTAGCGAGGAGGAGGAGGCACTGGCGGCCCTTACGTTCTTCCGTGGCGGGGCTTCAGACGAAGCGAAGGAAGAGTTGCGGGGATTGCGTTCGGACGTGCAGGTGTCTCTGCGAAGCGACAGGGAGATAGACGGCTTGCTGCAGAAGCATGGCGCGCAGGAGACGGGCGCCTTCGCTGCTTTCGCTAACCCCAGGCCGCTCATAGTGGGATGCGGGATCGTAACCCTGCAGCAGATCACCGGCCAGCCCTCTGTCCTGTACTACGCCACCAACGTCTTCAAGAGCGCGGGCTTCGGCGACTCCTCGTCGCAGGAGTCTGTGCTCCTTGGGTTGGTCAAGCTGGTCGCGACGCTGTTCACTGTCTGGCGCGTCGACCACTACGGCCGGCGTCCGCTGCTGCTGATCGGCATTTCGATGATGACCGTGGCGCTCGCAGTGTGCGCGGCGGGCTTCAGCACGAGCTACTGCACCACGCCTGGGTTGTCGACGGCCGAATGCTCCACGGGCGACCTGGAGATGCCGCGGGCCTGGGCGATCGTCACGGTCGCAGGCCTGATGGTCTACGTGAGCGGGTACCAGGTGGGTTTTGGGCCCATCGCGTGGCTGCTCATCTCGGAGATCTTTCCGCTGAGCGTGCGTGGTTCTGCCCTCTCCGTCGCCGCCATGACGAACTTTGGTTTCAACGTCGCGGTGACCTTCAGCACGGCGTCGCTGATGGAATCGTTTGGAACGACGGGTCTGTTCTCTATATTCTTATGCCTATCTTTGGTAAGCCTCGTCTTCGTGTTGCACCTCGTCCCAGAGACCAAGGGGAAGACACTTGAAGAGATCGAAGCTATGATGAAAGCATGATCGCGAGCTGGCTCGACACGGTGGTGATTTCACGTACCACCACACTGCAAGCCCCACGTAGAGCTCGAGCCAGCCGATTAAAAAGTCGGCATGCGGCTAAGGATGCGAGCACGCGTGGTTTTGAACCCAGTCGCGCAAGTGATTGGTCGTATCAGCACCATCATCGTGATCATAGTCACTATCGTCCTGTCCCAGACAGAGCTTTGAATCATGGCTGATTCGACTTGGGAGGTGAACATCGGAATCTGCCTGGTGCACTTTCCCCGCAGCAGCCAGTAGGGTCCCGCCCATGGGCCCCCGCTGTTCGAAGATGCCTTTGTTGGAATCTCCAAAATTCAACCGCCCGTGGGATTCGGGGTATTAGATTTTGGGGTCGCCCCCCGTGCGGCCCCGCCCTTCGGGCCCTGCCCTCAGATGCCTGGCCTGTTGATCTTCCAGCCACCGATGATGCGGTACCGCCCATGGGGCCCCACGCCCGGCTACCTTGTGTGTTGCATGTTCGCGTCGCCGCCAGCACGGTCAAGGCGCTGAAAAGGCAGGAGCGAAAGAAGGACGTGCACGTGCACGAATCCACGCTGGTTTCGAGAGTACGCACTGCCCGAATGCTCGTATCCCGCGGCCGGTCTCGCGGATCGAGGGGCCATGCTCATGCACATAGTTGGGCGCGCACGTCCGTTGTGGGCTCACTGAGAAGGGTACCCCTCTGGGTTCAGGAGGGGATCTGTCTTGCAGGTCGCTCCGCAGATTCAGCTCGGGGAATAGATTCGTGGTGGAGGCTGGTCGTGGCCAGAAAGGCCTCTTCGTTCCTCGTGTGGCGTTGTCTGTGGCAACACGATGGCTGCAGGGACCTGCCTTCAGCTGCACTGCCTGCGGGATATTTCGGCTGCCTCGTGAATGTATGTCTGTGTGCGCGTGTGTGTGTGTGTGTGTGAGAGGTTGTGGTTGTGGTTGTGGTTGTGTTTGTGTGTGTTTGTGGTTGTGCTTGTGGTTGTGTGTGTTGTTGTGGCGGTGTTTGTGTCTGTGTCTGTGTCTGTGTCTGTGTCTGCGCCTGTGCCTGTGCCTGTGTCTGTGTCTGTGTCTGCGCCTGTTCCTGTGCCTGTGCCTGTGCCTGTCTGTGTGTGTTTGTGTCTGTGTGTGTGTGTCTGTGTGTCTGTGTGTGTGTGTCTGTGTCTGTCTGTGTGCGTCTGTGTGTATGTGCCTGTGTTTGTGTCTGTGTGTGGTTGTGTTTGTGCATGTGTGTTGATATTCGCCCTGCCTCTTCGTTCCTGTCTCCTGCAGTGCACAGCTCGCTGCCCAGCGCCCCTGGGCTGCTCGACCGGCCCGCGCGCTCGCCAGGTCCGCGCCTTGCCGCCGCCTCACGGGGTCCCCGCCACACGGCCCCGCCCCTCAGCTGCCCTGGCGTCCCCCGTCGCCGGCCACCAGGGGGGGGGGGCCCTTCTGCCTACTCGCTGCGGCTTCCTGTGCGGGCAACATATGCCTCTTGTGGGGTGCCTCCAGGAGCTCTGGCCAGGCGCACCCCCCCCGAAGGGAAGCGGATTGCAGCAGGCACGGGAACAAAATGAGTGCGGGGGGTCCCTCCTGCCCTTGCCCTGCGTGTTGCACCGCTCTGCCGCCGCCCGCACAGGGCCCCGCCGAGGGTCCCGTGGACTTCATGCACCCACGAGCGGCGCACATAGAGTCGGCCTTGACGCGTAGGTCGGCCCTGCCAAGTCAAGGGAACTGCTGTGTCCTGTCTTCAGAGACCCGTGCCGTTCACATTCCATGTGGCAATGTGGCCCTCGGAGGGGTCTTGTGTCCTCTCGCGTGTCCTCTCCAGTCAAGCCCGACTGCATGCGTGTCCGCGCCCTCGCGGTTTGGATTCCAGGGCGCGATCCCGCGGAGACGCGGTCACACGGGCACGCCCCGCGCGGGGCATCCGCCCAGAAGTGCCCCGTATCGGCAGGGTCGCGTCCCCGGGGCTTGGCCCGCAAGGCCGCGGATACGGCAATGTTTTTCGCCCACGGTCCACGGTGCCGCGTGCGGCGAAGCATGACGACACCCGCGCACGGAGGCGAGCACCGACCGGCAGGCAGGAAGACGCACGGGCGGTCCACGAGTGCTCCAGCCAGACGCGCCGAGGGAAGCACGGCAGAGCAGCGGCCAAGAGGCGCGGGCGCACACATCGGGGCAGACCGACAGCGCCTGTCCCCTCTGGAGGTCGCGGCATCGCTGGCTTGCCTGGTCGCGGGGCCCTCCAGGGCGCTCTGGGGGCCATGCTGGTGCCTTCTGGGCGGCGCTGGTGGCTTTGCTGGAGGCCCTCTTTGGCTCTTTGGGTACCTTGGGGCATCGTGGATCATTTAGGGAGCTCTCTGGGATGGTCGTGAGGCCATCTTTTGGCGATCTTGGGCCCTTTAGAACGCCAGATTGGACCATGTGACATGTGTGTGTGTGTGGGGGGGGGGGGGGGAGCGTCTTGGGCCCGCTTGTGAGCTCTTTTGGTGTCCAGCTGGCCCTCTTGGAAGCGTCTTGGTCCCTTCGTGGAGCCGTCCTGAACCCTAATGGGCGGGCATTGCATTACATTGGATCGCGCTTCGTCGTGCTACGATACGCCGTGCTGCCGTGTGCTATGATGCGCTGCCCTGGACGACTGCGCAATTATACGTGGTGCTACGCCTCCTCGCTGCGGATCTGGATTGGGAGCTAAAAGGATCGGCAGCTCCCACAAGGTGCTCCTGCGTCCCACTGATACGTAACGCCTCGCTTCCTAAACAAAGGCCATCGTCGCTCCCTCCCACCTTCCCAACCCAGTCGTCGTCTCTGTCGCTGTCGTCGTCGTGGTCGTTTTTTGAGTGGCGTTCCGCTGCTTCGCAGCAGAACCACCGGCAGCGGGGTCGCACAGATTGCTGTGCCGCCACTCCGCCAACGCACCTCTGACGCGCACGACATCTGTTCCTCTTCTTCCTCCCGAGCCAAGGCAAGCTCGTCTCTCTCCGTCCCTCCCCTCCCCTCCCCCCTATCAGGACCCATGCCGATCCGATCGAGCCATTTCGATACCGAGTTCGACCGGCCCAACCCGAATCGATTCCGTTGTTGCGGCAATCCGATGTGGCGCGATGCTCACACCGCGTTGTGTTGCATCATGGCGCGGTCGAGCCGGTTCCATCCCGACTCCGTGCCGATGCGTCCCAGCTCGATGCAAGGGTCCCAGGAGTTGGCTTCGCACCCGTCCGACATCCCATTGCCCCCTACTACGGCCCCCTCCTCCCCCTCCTCGTCCTCCTCGTCCTCCTCGTCCTCCTCCTCCTCCTCCTCCTCCTCCTCCTCATTCTCCTCCTCCTCCTCCTCCTCCTCCTCCTCCTCCTCCTCCTCCTCTCCTCCTACCTACTCCTACTCTCTACCTCTCCTACTCCTACTCCTCCTCCTCCCCCCCCCCCTCCTCCTCCTCCTCCTCCTCCTCCTCCTCCTCCTCTCTCTCCTCCTCCTCCTCCTACTCCTACTCCTACTCCTACTCTACTCCTACTCCTACTCCTACTCCTACTCCTACTCCTACTCCCTCCCTCCCTCCCTCCCTCCCTCCCCCCTCTCCTCCTCCTCCCCCTCTCCTCCTCCTCTCTCCCTCCTCCTCCTCCTCCTCCTCCTCCTCTCCTCCTCCTCCTCCTCCTCCTCCTCCTCCTCCTGCTCCTCCTCCTACTCCTCCTCCTCCCCCCCCTCCTCCTCCTCCTCCTCCTCCTCCCCTCCTCCTCTCCTCCTCCCCCTGCTCCTCCTCCTCCTCCTCCTCTCCTCCTCCTCCTCCTCCTCCTCCTCCTCCTCCTCCTCCTCCGCCTCCTCCTCCTCCTCCTCCTCTCCTCCTCCTCCTCCCCTTCCTCCTCCCTCCTCCTCCTCTTCCTCCTCCTCCCCCTCCTCCTCCTCCTCCTCCTCCCTCCCTCCTCCTCCTCCACCTCCTCCTCCTCTGTCCTGGACCAACGCAGACTCATCTTCCCCGCCCCTCCCTCTCTCCCTCCCTCATCCCCCCCTTCTCACTCCCCCCTCCCCCGCCCCCCTCCCTCACTCTCTTCTTGAGGGAGGGGAGATACAGAGATGCAGATACTGCGACCATGCCAGCTGCAAAGGCTCACCCTGAACTCCGCGGGGACAGCGAGGGCGTGGAAGTGCACCTCCAGAAGCCAGCCGCGAGATGCACTATGACATCTTGAACGGAGGGAGGGAGGCGAGAGAGGGATGGGTGAGGGCCTCCCTCCCGCCTCCCCTGCCCCCTCCCCTCCCCTCCCCAGATCTCCCCGAGGGGGGAGGGGAGCGATGGAATGGAGGGAGGGAGGAAGGGAGGGAGGGAGGAGAGGGAGGGCCGCCCTCCTGCCTCCCACTCCTCCCTTCCCATCCCTCCCCTCCCTCCTTCCTGCGCCCCCCCCACACACACACACACACACACACACACACACACACACACACACACACACACACACACACACACACACACACACACACACACACACACACGCACACACATCCCCCCTGCAGGAGCGGAGGGGCCGCCGCGGGCAGCGCCGCCGCCGAGGGCGGTGCCGCCCCCGCCGCCGAGGGCGGCGGCAACGGCCAGCGCAGGGGGGGGGGGGGGGGGCAAGACGGCGGGAGGCGACGACGACAGCGAGGGCGAGGAGAAGGAGGAGGAGGACGGCGGCGGCGGCGGCCGACGATGAGGACGACGGCAGGCCCGATGGCAGGAGGGACGGGGACGGCGAGGATGACGAGGGAGCAGGAGGAAAAGGAGGAGGAGGAGGACTGTCCCACAATCATGCCTGAGTCGTGGGGACAAGGCCTCGCGGAGGCCCTTTTGGGCCTCTCAGTGGCTTCTCGGGGGTCTCTCCGAGACCTCTCTGGAGCCTCTGGGGCATCTCTCGGGGCACCCCTGGGGGCTTCGTGTGGTCCTCTGGGGGGCTCTTGGGACTGTTTTGGTGGCTTGCTGGCCGTCTTGGGGGCCATCTTCGGGTGAAGAGCTCTAAATGGCCCCCTCTTGATCCTGGGCCGCGGACGCCGTCTTGGGCGGGTCTTGGGGGGGCCTCTTGGGCCGTCTTGGACGCCCTACAACAAAAAATCCAAGAATTCGAAAAGCATGCAAAAACCAAGCGTGCTGCAATTGTTTCGGCATGTCAGGCTGGCTGGCCCCCAGGGCTTCCCTGAGACCCCCGGGACGATTCACTGAGGCTACCGAGAGCTCCAATTGCTTTTTGAGCGTTTCTTGAAAGGTTTTGAGGGGGGCCTTGGGGTCGGTCGAGGGCGAATTTGCTGTCCTCGAGGCCCACGAAAGCAGCGCGCAAGAGTGCCCAAGAGTTCTGACGAATCGGTGGGGCGGGGACCCGTCGGAAGCCCACAGCCCCTCTTGGCACTTACTTCTGTGAGGCGTTCCGGAAGGGGCCTCGCCTGCGAGGACCGAGGGAGTTGACATATCTTCCTCGGCGGACGTCAACGCAAGCGGTGGTGCGACGACAGTTCACAGCTTATACAAATTACCACTGGGAGTATCACCAAACATTGGTTAGATGATGCTTGTGACCAGAAATTATGGGACAGCTGGGAAGACGCTTTCCTCCACCACATGCAATAACCGTGCTCCGGCCCACCCGCGCTGCTCCTAGGGGCCCCGCCGGCCGTCCGGCGGACTCAGCGCGCTCCTGTCTTGTCCTGTCCTCGGCGGACGTCGGCGGAAGGGAGGCGGAAGCCGGCGTAAGTAAAGCGGGGGTGTCGCCGCTGGTGGAAGCTAGTGGAGTTACAAAATGCACCCCCAAGAGATGGCAACATGTTCGGGTTCAGGGTTTTCCGGAAAGCGTCATGTGTGCGGTTTGGGGCACTCCACGATTTGCGGGAGGCACGGTGGTGAATTACAGAGTTGGCGGGCGCAGGAAGTCTGAGTGACGATGATATTGTGTATCATTTTGTGCGCGTTCGGGAGAGTCCATGTTCAGCCTAATGCGGCATCGCCGCCTTTTGTAGGTCCGGCATCACTTGGTGAGTATATGCGTCCGCCAGGTGAGCGCTACAACCCATGCTAGACGAGGGCTGCAGCTGTCTTATCCGTCGCCTGACCTGGAGCCCGTATCTTCAGAAGTTTCGCAACGCACCCAACTCCAGGGCAAGATGAACTTCTGGCCACGCGATTATGAATCGATTGCAACGCGATTATTTATCCGAGAAGGTTGAAAGGAGGAAGAGGCGGACGAGAAGCGGAAGCAGGAGTAGCAGGAGGAGGAGAAGGAGGAGGGACAAGAGCGGCAGAGGGAGGAATCAGAGCGAAGAGGAGGCGTGTGCCCAGAAGACCGGCCCAGATTCCACGCGACCAAACCTGCTCGAAGCCAGTTGGAACAATGGCCCCCGCTCGCAGACTCACACGTTGATCTGGCGCTCCTGGTCGCGTGCGCGTGTCTTTCTTTTGTTTCCCATCCCCGCTCTGGCTGCATGACACACTTCATATACCTACCAAACACATTGTGCTTGCCCATCTTCAGTTTGGGCTCAAGCCGACGCGGTCTAAACACAAGGTTTCCGCTTACCGAGGTCTCACCGCACAGGGCTCCTACGATTTCATCATCCATGGCTGCCGTCCGCGCTCTAACTCTTTCTGCTCTGGCCTCTGCTGGCGCTGCCCTGCAGCTCCAGGACGGCATTCAGCACAACCTGACCGTCTGCAACGCCTACGCAGAGAGCAAGCCCCTCAGCGTCTACACGGTCAACCAGAAGGCAAAACTCACAGAAGAGCCCCTGCGTTATAAGGCGTGCAAGGAGATTGTCCTCGAGTTGGCGGACAATGAGCGTATCGACTTCAAGCTTGGAGGCCTCAGCGTCGGGACGTTCCACGTCGGCAACCTCCCGTTCGCCCCCACTTCATTGTTGCTGGTCCCCTATCGCAAGGGCAACAGCACCATGGCAGCGACCTTCTACTCCCACGCGTTCTCGGTCTCGCAGGAGAACTCGCAGCTCGCAGTCGTCGATGCGTACGATGGCAGCACACCTGGCAGCCTGAAGATCGCGTTCTCCAAGGGGCGCGCGAAGGAGTCGGCGCAGTTGAAGCCTGGCACGGCCGTGAACCTTGCCCCAGGCGCCTATCAGGTCAGCCTGGCCTCCGTATCTGTTCCTTCTCATCCCATGCGCCCTGCTTCCTCCTCCTGTTCTCTCACCTCCGCCTTACCCTCCTACCTTACTCGCCCTCCGCATCTTCCGCCCCTCCTCCTTCTCCTCCTCCTCCTCCTCCTCCTCCTCCTCCTCCTCCTCCTCCTCCTCCTCCTGCTCCTCCTCCTCCTCTACCTCCTCCTTCTCCTCCTCCTCCTCCTCCTCCTCCTCCTCCTCATCCTGACCCTCTTCCTCCTCCTCCTCCTGCTCCTGCTCCTCCTCCTCCTCCCCGCCCTCCCCGCCCTCCCTCCCTCCCTCCCTCCTCCTCCTCCTCCTCCTCCCCTCCTCCCTCCTCCTCCTCCTCCTCCTCCTCCTCCTCTCTCCTCCTCCTCCTCTGCCTCATCTGCCCCTCCTCCTCCCCCCCCCCTCCTCCTCCTCCTCCTCCTCCTCCTCCTCCTCCTCCTCCTCTCCTCCCTCCTCCTCCTCCTCCTCCTCCTCCTCTCCTCCTCCTCCGCCTCCTCCTCCTCCTCCTCCTCCTCCTCCTCCTCCTCCTCCTCCTCCTCCTCCTCTCCTCAATCCTCTCCCTGGCAAGGCCATAGCCGGCTCAGGCGATTGGGTGCAACCGCAGGGGTTACGCCCTTGCTGGTCACAGGCCTCCACTGTGTTTTCCTCACCTCATTTACTGCACACTCCGTTCAGACACTGGCCAGAGCAGGACGATGGCGACCACGACAGAGCTGGTTTGGCACCGCAGAGAGCGAGCACGCCGAGCGAACGACAGATGGTTGCTGAAACCTCACCAGCCATTCAACGGTTTTGGCAGCATCGCAGTGCGCAGCCAGATATGAGATATTCAGGATCGAAGGGTTGGAGCAGACAGCGGTTAAGCAATGCCCTACATGCAGCCGCTCCAACTGTCAACTGACTCTTCTTCAGTGTGTCGTCGCGGGCGGTCGGCTGCAGCGCCCGTCCGTCGCGTCGCCGCGCCCCAGCTGTGAAGTCACGGTTCTTCTGATGAGGGACATGTCTCCTCTCTTTGGCCCAGGAGGCCTACAGCGAGACAGGAGAAGAGGTTCTAAGATGGCAAGAAGCCCCTTTCCTGAGATCCGACGCCGTTAAGCCAGCGCACGGCGCCATGGAAAAAGCATGGCTGGAGTTCTCGTGCTGGGCTCGGTCGCTTGCGGCCTGCCGGTTGCTGTCGGTGCTCGGTTTCGCGGTGGGCTCGGTCGCCTTGCGGCCGTGTGCCGCTTCCGTGGGCGGCCTCTCGCTGGCGCCCGTGCCTGACCGGTCACTGGGCCCTGCTGCGGCTTGCCTGCGCTCCCGAGGCCTTTTCGCCGGGAGGCAGAACGGAAGCCTCCTCCGCCTCCTCCTCCTCCCCTGCCTCGGCCTCCGCCTCCTCCTCCTCCTCTTCATGCTCGAGGCCCTCGACCAGCCAAAACTTCTTCTTTGGCCCGAGAAAACGGCACCTCGACCCAGAGGCTTCCGATCGATCAAGGGCTTCTTCGGGAAAGCGTAAGACTCGAGTAAGCCGGAGCTCGGGTTTGCCAGCGTTTGCCGACGAGCGCGTCCAGGACTCTGGCGGCCCAGGTGTCGTGGGATGTCTGCAGCGCGAGCTCGCGTCAAATGTTAGACCGGGTCTCGTCATTTTCATCATGAGGTTAGGCCCCGGGAGGCCAACCCGGGTTCCCCGAACCCGGGTCTTACGTCTCCCCGACTTCTCTCGGTCAGGTCTGCGTGCTAGGGCCACAACGGCCAGGCCCTCGCAGACGCAGGCGCTCACCGCGGTGGGCGTGCACAGGTTCGCGCCAGCGATCGGGCCGCGCAGGCGCCGGTCAAGGCGTGTCGCGGCTCGCCTCCTTCACGGCGGCGGGATGCGCCAGGGTCGGACGCACGCCAGGGAGACGCCTGCTTACCGCGCCCTCGGCACCTGGCGCGCCCAGCGGGCGCACCGCGCGAGTTTCGGGGCTGCCCCGGACATCAGCACCAGCCTTGCCATCAACGTTGAGTGCGCCCGCCGCGCTCCGATCCCGCTGGACTGCGCGGCCCAGCATCGCCAGAAGTGGTTTGACTACCTGATGACGGAGATCTGTCTCCACCTGGCTCTCCACGCGGGCTGCCCCCATGACATCATCGCGGTCCGCCGCTCCTTGTCCAGCATCCATGGGCGTTGCATCCGCGCATGGGTGGTGCCTACTCGCCATCACTGGCCCGCACAAGCGGCCACCTGCAGGGCAGTCCCCCGTCTATCGCTGACACACCAAGCTCTTGATCCTTGCCGGGCTAACCGTCAGAACCGTTTCGTCCCAAGCAGTCGGGCTACTACGTCCGTGGATGGCAGCACACCGCGATGACCACCGCTGCAGAGATGGGTACAGTAGACTCCGTGCCGACGCGGCAGCGACCCAAGCGCGGGCGCTCAAAACTGAGTGCCCCCCGTAGCCCAGAATCGGCCGACTTTCGAGGACCCGCGCCTTCGAGAAGTCGCGATCGTTCCGGGTCGAACGACCCACGACGTGACAGAAACCAGCGCCGACGTCTGGCGAGGCTTCGGGCCGCGCACAGCCAGCCCTCTGACGGAACGGGCCCGGCCCCCCCCCGCGAGCAGCCCCGGGCTGTCTCGGCACCCCGAGCAGCCTGGGGCGCGGAGAGTGCCCCAGGGTCGCCACGCGGCAGGCGGCGCCGGAGTGCTGAGGCCGGCCCAGACAGAGCTTCGCAAAGCCCTTGATTCTGGATCCTGGACCTAAAAAACCTAAACATGTAGGCTTGTGCAGCCACAACCTATGATGTTAGGTCTGGCTGCCTTGCTCGGCAGAACGCACTTCGGACCTAAATTGTAGGCCCAGGCCCAAACTTTAGGCCCGGGCCTGAAATTTGGGTCTGGGCCTAACTTGGCGCTCCTGGCATCGATGATGGTGAACATGCTGATGATGGTGATAATGATGATAGCGGCCAGAATAACAGTGTTGATGATGATGACGATGATGATGTCGGTGGTTGCTATGATGGCGATTGTGCTATTATTGATGATGGTGATGATGATGATGATGATGAAGATGATGATGATGATGATGATGATGATGATGATGGTGATAATGATGATGATGATGACGATGATGATGATGATGATGATGATGATGATGATGATGATGATGATGATGATGTGGAGGAGGAGGAGGAGGAGGAGGAGGCGGAGGAGGAGGAGGAGGAGGAGGAGGATCACACTGATGGTGTTGATGCTCCTGGCCCTCTTGCGACCCGCCACGCGACCCTTATTGGGCGTGGGCCGACTTGGGCTTAGTCCTGGCATGACCGTGTGGTTCATCCTCCTTTGCCTCCTCCTCCTCCTCCTTCCCCTGCTATTCCTTCTCCTCCTCCTCCTCCTCTTCTTCGTCCCCCTCCTCCCCGCCCTCATGGTTCTCGGGTTTCGAGCATCCCTCGCCCCTCCCATCCCTCCCTCGTCCCCCTCCCCCTCGTCCTCCTCCTCTTCCGCCTCCTCTGTCTCCTCCTCCCTTGCTCCTGATTTCGACCCTCCTCCTCCTCCTTCCCCCACTTCTCCTCCTACTGCTCCTCATCTTTCTCCACCCTCCTCCTTATCCTCCTTTTTCTCCTCCTCCTCCTCCTCCTCCTCGTCCTCCTTCTCCGCCCCCACTCTACCTCTCATGGGCAGGGGGATTGGCATGGCAACGCGGAAGGACTCGGGAGATGCATTGGATGAGGAGGAATATTATTATTCATCAGAGCCCCAGGGCTTCGCCAACGAGTAAACGCTCAAACACGCTGCTGGCGAAGGAATCGGGATGCACAGTCTTCCCGCGATATTCCTGATGAGCAAGTTTAGCGATTCGTCCTCGCACGTGTTGTACAACTTACAATTGCCAGTCTCGTAAATATTCATCGTGAGATGAACGAAAAGGTGGTAGGGTGAAACGGATAGCCAGCAACACCGTACAGCACGATGTGTTTCACACACAAGTCCATGAATTCTCGTCGCGTTCGCACGTCTGTCAATCGACTCTCAAACGAAATTATAGTGGGAGGAGGAAAACAATGCATATCCAGTTATCTTGGGCTCCTTCTTCCCCCCCTTCCTCCTCGATACCATACAGAGGAAGGGGGGGAGGAGGGGGGCCAAGAGAATTGGATATGCACTGATTTCTTCTTCCCAGATAGAATACCACTTCTGAAGCGCGAGCCCTGCATCGAATAAGGTCGTGGTCTTAGCAACGTCGGTGCACTGACCAATGGTATCCACAATTTCCCTGTGAACGAATCCGGTAACCCCCCTCGTCTCACCGCCTTATGCATTTAATGTCGGGTGGCCTTCCTCCCCCAGCATCGCAAGTGTCATAATTTCTATGTTTAAAAGGGTAGCATTCGGATTCCACTTGTGCTCCTTAGAATACAATGTTCGCAATTTGTCGTTCAAAATGCCGAGGCCCATTGCCAGTCGATCCCTTGCTACACTGTGCGACAAGCCATATACGTTTGCTTTCAAGAGCATCATGATGGAAGCGCCAGCCCAGCATTGGGCAATCCCAAGATCAACTGTATGAAGAACGTCCAGCACCATGTGTTCGAGAGGTAGCCCAATTACCTCAAGCGAATGAACCGTTGGAATGTTGAATATTGCTGGCACTCCAGCAACCCCCGTCTCGTCGCAAACACCTCACACGGCGTGGCCACGCTCTCAAGAGCGTAGAGATCAGGCACGACCTCATTGCACACCAGCGCGTCGCCTCCCTTGAGGCCAAGCTCTGGCAACCGACGCTTCGCCGAACGCCCCCAAGGGTGGGCCAAGCGAAACCTGAGACCGTCCGCGAGTCGGTATCGCGCGTCAGGCGTCTCCAGTGGCACCCGTATGATCTGCGCCGTAAGTTCATCGACGTAGTCGTTCATGGACCTCGCATGCCACGGCAAGCGCCCACCACCACGTTTTGGATACAAAGCGTGCATGTCATCGAGGGTGCACTTGCATATAGGACATGGTCACTTGGCGCTCCACCGCTTGAGCCTCGTCACGTCGCAAAATCGCAACGGTGCTCTGTGACGGCGCCGCAGAACCCAAGAGGCACCGTTGCAACTCAAGACCGCGTGGCATCGGTATCTATCCTAGGCCCGCCATCAAAGCGTTCTGTCATATTTCTGCCAGTTGCCAAACAATTGAGCGAGTTGTTGATGACAGTCTACACTGCGTCGAACGTGCACCTGCCGTTGCAGCCGTATTGGCACATGTGTGTTTTAAGCCGTAGCCACATTATGTGTCGTGTGCGCTCCCACGTTATGTTAAAGCAGTCCGTCAGCACAGACCCAGTTTTGTAGACAGGAGTAGCGTCGCTATACAAACCAATCGGAACTGTTGAATCGAGCCCGTGCTCTTGCACCACTCGGTGTCGCGTGCAACTTGGAACCATCACCTCGTCGGGGTCCTGCAACCTACAATTGAAATTATCAGGAGACGCCGCGAGCAGGTCTCGCAATACTTCGTGCGGGAGGCGAACAGGGATCCACCGACGAACTCGTGTCGCAGTCCGCTTGCAATACATCGACACAGACACGTAATAGAATTTGTCCCGCGGTTCCGTGATGTGCTAATTATTTCTGGCATGTCTGGCGTGGTTTCGCCCTAAACATGCTGGGTCCAAGCCTAAATCTGATATGCCCTCTGCGCCATCTTGAATTGCGATGAAGGCCTCCGTGCAAAGTTGTTCTTTTGTTTTGGCACCCAGGCACCATCTCTTCAAGAGGTATCTCCTGTACCTCAAGCCCGCATCGCGCTTCGAAGCGCCAACATCCCGCGTCGGAGCAGCAACTCTGCCCGACAAATTGGTTTTCGCAAAGCACGGCGTCCTCAACCTGAGTTTAGCAGCGCGCGCAGTCATGGAGCCGAATACGGCTGCGGAGGAGGAGGGCGGGAGAGGGGGGGGCGGAAGGGGGGATGGCTCCATCGTTTCTTAGACAACGTTACGGGCCTGGGGTTCTGATGTATGGTCGTGCGTTCGTTACCTACGCGACGAAAAGTCCAGGCCCCCCCCCTCCCCCCCCCCCCCAAAAAAAAAAAAAAAATCGGCGGCGAGCCTCCTCGGAAGGCGGCGGGGCACCCCAGAAGCCCTCGCGCCTTCCGAGAAGTCGACCGCGTCTTCGGGGAAGGCTCGGAAAGCTTCTAAGAAGGCCAGGGGGCTTCCGAGCCTTCTGAGGAGGCCCGCCACTTCTCATTTCCCCCCCAGGCTCGCCGTCGAAAGAAGGACTCGGCGACTGCAGCGGGTGTGGTCACATCAGGGTGAGGTGTGCGATCGGCGCCGTCGGGGCTCAGGGGATCACCATGCTGCGCCACAGGTCGGGTGAGCCCTCGTCGGGGCGCGGCGGAGGTCTCTGTCGAGGTCCTCGCCCGCCCCCCCCAAGCGCGGGTCGCAAACCACACCCGTTCGTTCGCAAGCCACGCCCCTCGGAATCGCCGAGGGACGCTGGTGTAAGCACCACTCTGGTTCGCAGGCCGATCCTCAGATCTGGCTCGGGGCGCCGTTCCGTGGCCGAGGCTCGCCGTGGCCAGAAAAGCCTATCCGCTTCGTACTGGGGGTTGGCGGGGCTCTCGTTCTGGTAGCACGATGGCTGTGTCGGAAGGCCGCGATCGTCCAAGGTTGAACGATACGCACAGTGTCAGAAGCCAGCGCGCAAGTCGCCACGGCATGGGCATGCCGTGCCGTTCCTTGTATAGTTCGCTTTGGGCGTGGCTCCCAGTGCCACACGGCAGGGTGGGTTCGTGAGCTCATGCTGCCTTGACGGACCTCGCGGCGTCCGTGATCCCTTCTCTCTCCATCCCTCCCCATCTTCGCGCGTATCGCTCGTCCTGGTCCTCCTCTTCGTCCTCATTCCACCGTCGCTCCCTTTCCTGACAGGTCAGCCTGGATGACTCTGGCAGCAAGAGCGTGAAGACAGTCGCGCTGTCGGCGACCGATGGCGGCAAGCACGTCGCCATGCGCGTGGGCGGCAGCGACGGCCTTCCCCAGGAGCAGATTCCTTTGTTCCTCCGTCTCATAACCACCCCACATGTCAATCCTACGTCTCTTCCTCCCTCCTCCCACCAAGCCTCTTTCCCCGCCCTCCCCATCTGTCCCAATTGCTACTTTCCCTCCTCGTTATCCTCCTCCGCCAGAATCTCTCCTCGTCCTTTTGCCATCGCCTTTCCTCGTCCTCGTTCTCCTCCTCCTCGTCCTCCTCCTCCTCCTCATCCTGTTCCTCCTCCTCCTCCTCCTACTCCTCCTCCTTCTCCTCCTCCTCCCCATCCTCCTCTTCCTCCTTAGATCATCTGATCCTACAACGAGAAAGTCCCGCAGACGCCGAACTAACCTAACCTACTACCAAGCAGGACCAACCACGAAACAGGAAGCCTACGTATCCTCGGCTTCGGGGCCCGACTAACTTTCCCCCTCCTCAGGCCCGCCGTTGGGCGCCGCGCCGAACGAGTCCCGTGGAGAGGGGGAAGGGGAGCCCCCAGAACATCTTGGATTGGGGCTCCCTTCCAGACAACAGGCGTCCCAGGGCCGATCGAGCCAGACGGGCCGACGGTCGGGGCCGAGACGAGGACGGGCGGCAGGGGCGACCAAGGCCGTGCACCTGCCGACGCGCGTAGGCCCCGCAGATCCTACAGAACGCGATCGCCCTGCGCCCCCCACGAGCCCCTCCAGGCACCCCCCGCACCCGATCCCCACGAACCACCCACAGCTCATGGGAGGAGTGGGCGATCGCAGCAGGCCTGGGCATGCCGGGGCAGGGCGAGCACACAGGCCTGGATCGGAGCCCATTTTCTAGCCGCACAGATGAGACAGCCCCGGGCCCTTCCCAAGCGCAAAGCCGAGTGCCCGTTCCCGCCAGACACGAGAACGACCGCATATCGGAGGGAGGGCCGAGTGGGGAGAGGGCTCCGATCAGGCCAACCAGCTGAGGCGAGCTCTTTCAGCACCGCTCCATGGTGAGCGGCAATCAGCTCCGCGGCACGGGTGGCCGCTCTCACCTGGGCCGCCTTTTCCTCCAAGGCGACGAAGGAGGGGTGCAGCCTCGCGCCCTCCTTGGTCTTGGCGTCCGCGTGTCGGTTGCCGCGGTGCCAGGCCAGTGGGACGCCTGCAGCCTCCGCCGCAGCCCAACTGGTGTGGGCCCGCGTCCAGCGGAGGCTGCAACTCTCGACGCCGAGGTCCCTGACATGCGCCCAGACCTCGCACCACAAGTCTGCGTACAGCGAGCCCGCCGCCAAGCACCACTCTTCTCCTCGCTCGAAGTTCTCCACCAGCCGCAGGTAGTCCGTGAGCACGTCGACCCTGGGACCCTTCTCTTGCAACGCCCTCAGCAGCGCATAGAGCTCGGCATGGCCATTCTCCTGCATTGGCCCAGGCACGCAACCGTACATACCTCCTCTCAGCGTCCCGTCGGGGTCCACGAGGATGCATGCCCAGCCACTCCGCGTGAGCTCGCCCCACTCTGGGAACATCGCTGAGCCGTCATTGCAGACCGTCCCGTGGACCAGGTCTTCTCGCAGCACTCCACCTCGTAGGCACACCTCCTGCTGCGCTGGCCTCGAGAGCAGCTCCAGCCCCAGACTCCCAGACTGACCAGGCACCTGACCATGCCGACGTCGTTGTCGTCGATCGCCGCGCCTGCTCTCCTTACCCCCTGAAGGTCCAGCCTCGCCGCGACGCAGGCGGTGCCGTCGCAGCAGAAAAGTCGGTGCGTTGCCGTCCCTGGCTCCTCGCCGCACATCGCACACATGGGGGCTCAGCACTGCTCTCTCACGGTGCAGGTCCGCCTGAGACACCAGGCCCCCGCAGATCAGCGACTCGACCAAGGCTGCTTGCTCGCAGTCTCCTCCCCTGCGCAATGCGGCCAGCGCCTCTCGGGTGACGTGGAGCGTCGGCGGTCCATCGAGCACTCCTGCCAGGTGCCCCTGCTGCAGCCTCCTCATCAGCGCGGGCTGGATCCCCAGCTCGATGGTCTGCCTCACGCGCTTGAGGCTGTGGATCTTGAGGTCGGCTGTGCCTCCTCGGTCTGTGACCCAGGTCCTCCAGACGACGGCCTCCCACCCGATCCTCTTGGGGGTGAGTTTGACCGCGTCCGCGGGCCCGCGCACCTGGCCCCGGGACTCTGGCTACGCCGCGTGGAAGGCCGCCTCCAGGCTCGCATCGCTGCGCATCCCTAGGAACACCACCTTGGCCCAGGCCTCCAGCGGCAGCCTGTTGGCCGCGTAGGCGGGGTCCAGCTTCCAGCCCTGGTCAGGCTGCAGCGCAAACTGCAGCGGCCTCGGCCTGCCCTTGCTGCCCTTGCTGCCCACGATCCCCGCCAGCGCTCGGCCGCTGATGGCCCTCGCCTTCTCCAGCGCCGCCGCCGGCACGCCAGCCTCCCTGGCGCCATGGAGGACGGAAGCCAGGCCACTGCATCTGAAGACGTTGCCCAGCTTGGCCCCCGCGCGTCGAAGCGCCATGCAGCGCGAGGGCCTGACCGCCAGCCTCGCCACTCTTGCCGCGCAGGGCGGACCACGACGCCTTGGGCTGCATGCCGAAGTCGACCCCGAGGTTCGTGACAGCACGTCGCAACCTGTAGTCCCACTTCCGCAAGCGGTGGGCCGTCCGCTCGCCTGCGCCCTCGTCGCCGCTCACCACGCTCCCTTTGGTCAGGGAGACCTCGGAGCCCAGCGCCTCGAGCCGCTGGCAGAGGTCTCTGGTCGCGCCGAAGGCCGTGGACTCCACCTCTCTCAGCTTCCCGCACACCGCCAGCGTGACGTCGTCCACGGCCGGGTAGCCTCGCACCGACTGCCACGCCGCCATCACCGCGTCCATCGTGGAGAGGAGGACGACCCGAAGGAGAGTCGTAGCGTACCCGCAGCCCGCCACGATGGAGCTGCCGAGCCGCATCTCCTCCGACTTCCAGCGGCTGAGGCAGAGACGCCTCGGTCCCCCACAGTTGCGGAGGATCAGGTTCAGCCGTCGGAGCTTAAAGCCGTGACGACGGGCCGCAGCGACCAGGCCCTCGTGAGAGATCCGCTCATACGCCTTCGACAGATCGGTCATCGTCGCCATCGTGGGACTGGAGCACGACCGCGTCCTCGCAGGAGCGCCAAGCCTCGCCGACGAAGAAATCGCGCCTGTGGGCAGCCTCCCACTCGACCGCGTCGATCCTGCGAAGCCTCCCCAGCAGGCGGATGAGGCTGCTGAGGAGCCCGATGGGCCTCCAGCCTCCGCCGGCCATTGTCAGGAAGACGGCCAACAGCATGTTCACCTGCTCGGGCAGCCTGCAGGTAGCCTACATCACCAGCAGGAGCAGCCCCAGCGCCTCCAGGCCCCCGTCACTGAGGTGCACGAAGGCATGTGGCTTCACCGCGTCAGCGCCCATGGCCGTCGACGCCCTGAAGGCCCTCGACGCCTTGACGATCTCCTCCGCCGTCGGCGCCTGGCCAAGCTCCTCCAGGTGTGCGTCAGGAGGCGCGGTGTCGAGGTCCATCGGCAGTATCTCGCCGCGTTGCCAGATCTCTTGGTATTCAGCCACCAGGCTGCCGAGAGTGGCTGCAATGCCAGCAGGCCCGTCATCCCCATCCACGTCGGCTGTCCAGCCGAGGGGGGCCCTGCAGAAAGCATGGGATGCACCTCCTCCGTCTCGCGCGGCCTCTTGTGCCCAGGCCCGCCAGCGCTGATCTCGGCCCTTCGCACAGATTGCCTCAAGCCTCGCTGCAATGTCCATGGCCTCGTTCTCCAGGGCCTCGACCTCCGCCTCCTCCTCCTCCTCATTCTTCTCCTCCTCCTCCTCCTCAGGCTACTGGCGCTCCTCCTCCTCCTCCTCCTCCTCCTCCTCCTCCTCCTCCTCCTCCTCCTCCTCCTCCTCCTCCTCCTCCTCCTCCTCCTCCCCCTCCGCGTTCGCATAATTTCCCGTCGTCCTGTGTCCCTCCTTTTCTTCGTCAGTATCTTGCTCATCGTGTTTCTCCTCCTCATCCTCATGTTCGTCCTCCGTCCTATTCCCCCCTTCCTCTGCTTCCTACTCCTCTTCCGCCGTCTCATGTTCACAATCATGTTCCTCCTGGCCATCGTCCCTTCTCCTCCTCCTCCTCCTCCTCCTCCTCCAGCCCCTCCTCCTCCTCTCCTCCTCCTCCTCCTCCTCCTCCTCATCATCATCATCATCATCAGCAGCATCATCAGTAGCATCAACAGCATCATCATCATCATCATCATCATCATCAGCAGCAGCAGCATCATCAGCATCATCACCATCATCATCAACATCATCATCATACTCAGCATATTCGTCATAATCAGCATCATCATCAGCAGCAGCAGCATCATCAGCAGCAGCATCTTCGTAGTCGTCGGCAGCATCGTCATCGCCGTCGGCATGAAGATCAGTGTCGTCATCAGCATCATCATCATCAGTACCATCAGCTGCATCACCATCATCATCATCATCATCATCAGCATCATCATCATCATCATCATCATTGGCATCATCATCATAATCAGTACCACCATCGTCAGCATCAGCATCGTCATCATCAGGAGCAACAGCATCATCAGTAGGATCAGTTTCGCCATCGCCATCGTCATCATTGTCACCATTATTCGAAAGCTGGGCGAGGGCTGCTAAAACCGTGGCTGCTAAAACGGCCCTCCCGGAAGGAAAAAACAACTTCCTTGAATGAGGCGCGGCACGCGAAACAGTCAAGGGGCTTCTTCCAGGAAGGACGAAGACAACTTCCTGGAGGTCGATTCTAGCAGCGACGGATTTAGCAGCCCTTGCCCGGCTTCCGAATTACCATCAGCAGCAGCAGCAGCATCGTCAGCATCATCATCATCATCTTCATCTCCATCATCATCAGCATCATCAGCAGCAGCAGCATCAGCATCACCATCACCATCACCATCATCATCATCATCATCATCAGCAGCATCATCATCATCAGCATCATCATCATCATCATCAGCAGCAGCATCATCATCAGCATCAGCATCATCATCATTATCATCATCATCCGCAT